GGAAAAGGCCAGAGAGTACAGAGCAAAGTTCTATTTTTTATTTGTGAAATTTATTATTGTATTGTATATTTATTCAGTTATTTTAGTATTATTTGGTTGTGATTTTTCTTTTGCTCTTTTTCCTCCCTATTCTAACTGGCCTGATTGATTGAAGAGGTGCAGACAGATAGGGATGTGTAAGGGTTGGTAGATATGTATATAAATATATCTATATAAATGCATATATGTACACAGAAGGACAAATAAGCAAGGATATGCCCATGTGGATATAAGGGATTGAAGTGTAGTATCTAGGAATCAGTACCCTCTTTTATTTTATTTATTTATTTTTATGCTATTTTATTTATTTATGATTTTTTTTAAAAGGCAAATGTAAATAAGACCAAAAAAATGTATCTGATGGAAAGTAAGTCCTTCCATTAAATTTATCCTTTAATGTTATATATATTTTTGAAATTTAATTTTATTTTTAATGTAATTTTTTCATTTAAATGAAATTAAATGAATTTGATTTAATTTTAAAATGTATATAATTTAAAATTTCATCCAATTTAACTTTTTTAATCTAATAATTTACTACTATTTAATTTGATATTAAATAATAAATGTAAATATAAATATTGTATTTCTTTATCATTATATTTTAATTTCATACTTTTTCATTCAACTTTTTATTTAATTTGGTTTGATGAGGAATTTAATCAAATTTTTTTTATTTGATGACATACATTTTGTTTAATTTTTTAAATTCTATTTATTTGTTTAAATTTATTTTATTTAGATTTACAATTTTATTTAATTTGACTAAATTTTGATTTTGTTAATTTGTAAATTTGTAATTTGTTTGTTTTTTTAATCTGATCTTATCCAATGTAGTTCCCTTTTCCTGTTCTGATAAATATGGTGATTCACTTTCACTCACACAGACTGCTCAATCATTATAGACAATTGATGAGTAAATTTATTATAATACATGACGTCATCAAAAACATCAAGGTCCACCCAAGTCCTTGATTCTTTGCCAGTACTCTGAATGGTTGCATACAACACTCTGTGTGATACAGCCCCTGATTCACAGTGATGATGCAAATATGTGTTGACATTATTTCCTCTCTTCTGCTGCATTGCTCACTGAAATCGGACTGTCCACTTCCTAAAGCAAAGAAAACTAGAGGAGGTACAGTGCTGCCACAGTTCAGAAACAATGCTCAAGTATTGCTTTTTTTTTGCATATGAGCGCAACCTAAATAAACTGTATTTGATGTTATTTGTTCTTTGCTCTGCTGTTCCAGTTCAGGAAGAATAAAGTGAGGGATTATACTGACTCTGACTCCGACTGTGACGAGTACGACCAGGAGAATCAAGGCCTCATCCTCAGACAGGTGCCTCACACTGTCACTTTCTGCAGAGGGATTGACAGTTGTTGTTTTTTTTGAAGAATGTTGTTAAACTAAATACATATTTTTCATCCTCAGAATTTAGCTGTCGTCCTGGTGAGGTTCATAAAAACAGGAATCAAAAGTCGTCTGTTGAGAGTATCTCTACGCACCCTGCGAATCCTCTCCAGAGACAAGAAGGTCCTGGCTCCCTTGGTAACAGACAACGCTCTCCTGACGCTGGCCAAACTAGCCGGACTGACCACAGCTGATACAAGCGATGAATCCAGCGACCCTGACTCTGATTTCTACGATACCATCATTACTTCTATTGCTGAGGCCAAAGCGTTACATCGCCGCCCCGTCGAGGACGAGGGTGACGTCGAAGCCAGTGACCAAAATGAAGAGTTCTTAGACGACGACGCCAAAAGTGACATAAGCAACGCCAACAGCGACAAAGATCTGGACAGCCTCAGCTGGTTTGGCAGCCACAGGACCAGCATCAACGAAATGCACAGGGGCGGCATCCATCACAAGATGCTGGAGCGAGGGAGGAAGGACCGCAGAGAGAGCAAGGTTGAGGTGGAGGAGGAGGAGGAGGAGGAGGAGAAGGAAGGGAGCTCAGGAGAGGAAGCACAGAGAAAGGAGGCCATGAAGGTGTTGTGTAATGTTGTGTACAACAGCACCTGGGCACAGGAGAGGTTCAGTGCTCTCAGGTGGGCGTCCTCACAGAACACAGCAGTCCAAAACACTGTTAAACACAGCTGCTGGCTCTGTAACTTGTCTGTCTGGGTTCACATAGCAATTTTTTCCTGCACGTTACGGTCAAACGTAGACATTCCTAAATGACTTTAGGGTATTTCCAGTGAAGCTCAGACAAAATTGTCTATGGCTAATCACCGTGACAGTATTTTGTCATAACCTTCATTTGGCTTTTGTACAAATCAGTTTCCAGACGGCTTACTTCTTGTTATTTTTTTCCGTCAGGCTCATGAGTGGCCTTGTGGAGCTTCTGTCCTCCGGTGTTAGAGGCTCATCTCCCTCCAGTGTTCAGTTCTATGAACTACGCCTCATGTTCCTCATTACTGCACTACGGCGAGAACTCAGCACTCAGCTTCAACAGGTAACCTCACTTAAACACAAAGTTACTGTTAGGCCCGTTGCAGTAGCTACATTTGGTGGATGATACATTGTCCCAGAGATAATTGCAATACATTAATATTGTCATTTCATGCCACTGATATCATGATTATTTAATAGCATCATAATGCAAGTACACCTTTTCAAAGAGCAATCAACTTTTAATACATAAGAATATTCAGACATTGAAACCATATGTTTATCATGTTACCTTGGATTTGTTCAAATAATGATATAAATAGACTCATGTTTACACCTCAGAAATGGCTTCCTTCCTGCTCTCACACTCCTTATGTAACTCCTGTAGGAGGGAGGTGTGTCCATCTTCACAGCAGCTCTAGAGAACTGCCTGGAGGTTCAGTGGAAGGACCAGTATGAGTGCGTGCTGGACCCAGCGGCACCACCAATCTCACCAGACGCCTCTCAGTGTATCGTGGAGATCCTCAAAATCCTCTTCAACATCACCTACAGCACCCACAGGCAGGAGCCAAGTGAGGTCAGTGACTATGAATAAAGCTGTCAGCCACCAGGTGTGTTATCAGAGTATGAAATTTAACTTACATGGAGAGGAATGATCCCCACTGTGTGTTTCCTCCTGCCTCAGGATGATGCAGCTCTTTACCGACACCTGGTGGCCATCCTGCGTCTCTGCCTGATGAGGAAGTGTTTGCTGCCGGACGACACTGATGCGCTGCAGGGGTGAGCATGTACAAAAATGAGGTCGTAAAGAAAGGAAACTGCAGTGGCAATTATCATCAGTCATTATTGACAACTACGCTGCCGATGCATTTAAAGTTGCTGGTGTTGCATTTTTCTTGATTCACTCTCTCTTCTGTATCTCAATCCCACAGCCACACAGTCAACCTGTTGTCAGCGCTGCCTCTCCAGTGTCTCGATGTGCTGCTTATGGTGCCACTGGTGCCCGACTCCAAGCAGTGCCAGGGGGTCAACATGGACTGTGTCCACACCCTGGTGATGTTCATGGAGAAACGCCTGGAGCTGGTGAGGGAGCAAAAGCTAAAATTAAGAATTTGTGCCTGAAATTTAAAAGAGCGACTGTTATAACTCGAGGGATTCTGTCTTGTCTGTTTGCTTCTCAGGGTGAGAAGATGAAGGAGAAGTTGACACCAATCCTCAATCTGCTGACAGAGAGCTGCAGGGCCCACAGAGAAACACGCCATTACATCAGGAAACATGTAATACCCCCAAAAACCATGATACCTCTGAGAAAGCTTTGCGCCTCTCACAATATTTGGATTATATTTGAAACTAGACAACTGAAGATGTAATTTATTCCTGTCATTAGATCCTGCCTCCCCTGAGAGACCTGTCACACAGGCCAGAGGAAGGCTCCACAGTGAAGAGCCGACTGATCCGTCTCATGACTCACCTGGACACAGACCTCAAATACTGCGCTGCTGACCTCATTTTTGTCCTCTGCAAGGAAAATGGTAAGACAACACATCATATGGAGACTCCACTAGAATTTAAAATAAATTCCAGTGGTTTTAAGCAATGCTTGCCTTCACGGCATGCATTATTTACTCCCTGTACATGTACAGAGTTTTAATAAGTTGACACAACTTTTTTAAATAATGTGAAAAATAAAAGATTTGCCTCAACATAAATTTTTGATCATCTACTTCCAGTGAGCCGTTTTGTCAAGCACACAGGCTACGGTAACGCAGCGGGCCTGCTGGCCACCAGGGGTCTGCTGGGTGGCCAGGTGCCGAGGCCTGTCAGCTCTGACACTCAGTACTCCAGCGACTCCGACTCGGACACTGAGGAGTACCGGCAGGTCAAAGATCGCATCAACCCGGTGACGGGGCGGGTGGAGGCAGAACAGCCAGACCCCATGGAGGGCATGACAGAGGAGGAGAAGGAGGAGGAGGCTCGGAGGCTCATCATGCTCTTCAACAAGCTGTCCAGGTCAGTGAAGTGACAGCGTCTCTTATCGACAACCTTTCACTAACGGTGTGAAACATATAAAGGAGTCTTAAACCTGTGACACTCCTCACTGAAGCCTAAAGAAAATAGTGCTTGAAAAGTACTTAAAAGTCTTTGAATATCATCTTGTAATGTCTGTATGAGCCCTGCAATGAGTACAAAAAGAACAATGCTAATGAATAAATGGTCCATGTTTTTCACCCCTCATCTGTTTTGCAGAGACAGCATTATCCAGCCGATGGGAGTGGATTCAGAGGGCAAACTGGTACCAATGTGCGGACTGGGGGAGAACTCCCTCACTGAGGAGGTGAAGTCTGAGTCAGAGAACGACGGAGAAGCAGAGGAAGGAGAGAAGAACTGAAACATGTTAAACCCATTCATTCAACATGATTTTATTTTGTAAATATCCCATTTCTAAAGTTTAACAGTGCATACATACAGTGTGAAGTAAATGTGCTGACGACATAAAGTGAAGTAGTTCTCACCCACACCCAGTGAAACATGAAACTAAACAAACTCAAATAGGATACAAAGAGCTTTTTTTAAAATTATTTTTTCTTTTCTTTTATTCTTTGGATTCCAACTAATAATATAGAGCTGCTATAAGGTCACACTGGAGACTGAGATGGATAGTAGAAAATAAGAAATGATGATGACATTGCCCAATATTTAAATAAAGTCTTTAAAGCATTTTGTTTGTGTTGATATTATATGTTCAAATGCATAGTTCATTCAGTTTAAATCCCACCACAGGCTGGTCCACACTCTAACTGGTCAGCTGTGACCCTTCAGTAGAAGATGAAATAAACATCTGCACAGCATATTTCTCTGGTGTGCTGCGATACACAACTGTCTCAGACTGTGCTCAGGTGAACACGGTGCTAAAACTGTATCATCTGATGCAAGATCAAAGACATTTAGACTGAATCCAGATGTTCTGATCACACCTACACTGATAAATCAACTTTAACTCCAGTCTGATTGTAGTTTTTACTCAGCAGTTGAGTTAATGGCTACACACAGTATTTCAATTTTGATTAGTTTTTTTGAAAGTGTACGTCTTTATCTGTTTCAGCACACACACATTTGCAAGGGCAGAATGAAGGAAGAGTGGAAGGCCTGCGAACAGAGTTTGTTTACTTCCTGAGCTGATGGATCCTTTATTTAGCTCAGTTTCTTTGCATTGGAAAGCAGAAATGATTCACAGATTCACAGAAATGTGGTTTTAATCCTCAAACACTAGCACCAATGCATCACTAATCATGGTAGAAGATCCTCATTGTTTTACACAAAAAACGCCATTGTCTGAATTAATTTAAAAGCACATATTCATATTTAAACATGGTGCAAGTTGAAAGTACATGATCTATTTGGTGTACGTGTCAACATGATTATTTCTGAGATGTTGTTAAGGATTACAAAGGGTAAACAATGACTTGAAGGCACAGAGGAATGTGTCAGTACATCTCCATCATCTCCTCGAGAGACATCTGCAGCTCCACAGACTGCAGGGAGGAGGCGCCACCTCCTACAGCCATGTCCTTCAGTACCTCCATTGAAGTCAGGACCACCTGAGACAGACAAATAAAGAAGGGGGGAGCAGAAAGTCAGATGCCATGACAAGAACGAGGAGAGCGAGATGGCAAATTTGAGCCTGACAGAAGCTGTGAAATCCGAGAGAGCCAGAGCAATGAGACGTGTCGAGCCGCTTTCTCTAAAGTAACTTTTTGTATAAGCTGTTCATTTCTCAGCATGCGCTCCTCTGTCGAGGCTCAGGAGCAGAAAAACCTTTTACACCCGAGGGATCAGCTGTCACCACCGGTATTCAGGCTTTGTTCTCTCACTGCTATTAATCAATACTGAGACAAAATTGCCTCTTGAAAAGTGCTGCTGACTACAGCTCCCTTGAGTGGGCAATTTGGGGGGTTTGATCACTCATGAAATTTGATAGAGGTGTGTGCAGCGAGAATAAAAAAATAGCCGTCTCTGCCAAACTGAAATACTGCTTTAAGGTCTGTAAGAGCACAACACTGTCTGTGGCCTTTAATAATTCAAAGGTACTCTCACCTCCACCATGATGAGTTTCTTCTCCCAAGGCCTGTTGTCTGGGTCAGGCCACTTCTCCCCGAGGCAGAAGAACAGGGAGCACGGAGGGCAGTCTCTCCCATCAATGAAGTCCAATATTCCTGGAGGAAAGGGACAATCAATCACTGCATCAAGCCAACCTGCAGGCTACGGCACATATTCACAGGCTGACAAAAAGCTACATAATTCCTCTCACCAACCTCGCACAAAGTCCTTGAACTGGTACAGTGGCTGAGGCTGCAGTTTAGAAATCTCTTGGGGCTGCTTGTTCCTGTCAAACTTGGAGAAGCTCCAGAATGCTTTGGTTTCCCCCCCTCGTCGCAGTCCGTAGACCACGTGGCCCGACACCCCCACGTCTAAACCATCCAGCTTGTCCAGGATGCGTTGGGTCAGATTGGCTTGGGTTTGATCCAGCATGGCTCCCGGACTTGGCAGAGAGACCAGGGTGAGGCCTGACTCGTGATCCACAACCGGCCCAATGAGGTCAGGCCTAATGTGAAGACAACACTCAGTCATTAGATTTTCAGCTGAAAACCAGGTTATAAGCACAGCAGAGCCACATTGTGGGGAAATACACTTCTTTCTTGCAGAGAGTTAGATGAGAATGGAGCCAGTTAGCTTAGGTTAACACACAAACTGAGAACAGGGGGAAACAGCTAGCATGGTGCTAATTAATGAGCTTTAGGCCCTGTTTACACCTCAAATAACACAGGTCTTGGGTGATGGTATCACAAGTTCACAGCTCTAAGTACAGGTTTTAATGTAACCCTCAGTTTGTCGAGAGATTCGATCACTCAGACCATGTTTGGAGGTGGCCTGGGCCGCATATGGTCACATTCTTTAAACAGTGTGTACACTCATGTATCATGGGCCACACTGAAGGACTGCCGACTCAGCCGACCTCCTTGCTTATCTGACTGCCCACCAGATAAGCTTTCTGTTGCTGCCATTACACAGGTTTAACACAGCACTGAAGGACCGTCACCAGAGCAGCTTTCCTCGTGGCAAATGGTCAGTTCAATGTCTGCCCAGTTAGCACAAGCAACAAACTCCCAGCAACACTGAATCGGCTCCACTCAGTCTTTACACCTGTCAATGACAGCCAAAATACATGGGGCAAAGACATGATGCGTCACGAAGGCGGAGTGGAGTGGTGTTTTTACCTGCTACACAGACTCTGTCTTTGCAGCGTGTTGTTGCTGCCAGCTTCACTGTGTGTGCATATTGGGTTTTCCCAAGTGATCGTGGAGTTGGTTAGGGAGGGTTTGGAAGTGTAGGCTCTATCAACTAGTACTGAATTAATCAAATGGATCGTTTTAGCAACGGGATGCATTTATTTGATCGATTTATTTTAATGTGAAATGTAAAAATACCAACAAGGTTGCTGCTGCTTCACATTGCCTCTGTTTAAATAAGATATTTATTTTAATCATTTTAAAACAGACTGTTCTATTTTTAATTTTCTGTCATTTCTTTAACTGTTGGAGGACTGTGGAGGGAAAAAAACAACAACTAGTTGGGTAAAAGTAGCAGTTACAAATAGAGGCAAGCAGTGCAGTGCCTCTGCTTCCATTGACAGTGTAGCTGCTTCAGTTGATTATGATGCAGGCATGCTGCAGCACTTTAGGTAACGTTAGTTGTGGGATTCTGACAGTTAGCCCTGTCATTGTGTGCGTGTGTTGTGTGTGTGTGTGCGGGTGGACTCTCACCAACTGTCACAGTCCCGCAGCAGTAGTCTCCTATGACGGTGTATGACGTGTGTTCATTTGCATATAGAGTGGGGAAGTGAGGTCCGATCAAAAGTGGTCACTTGAGACAAACTCTAACGCCAAGTGTAAACAAACATTTCAAGCTGTCCACTTGTGATCTGACTGACCAAGCCGCATGATAATATCAGGAGTGAAAAGTGTCTTAGAAGAGCTGGTAAGCAGAATTTGACACCTTTGGACGGAGCCGGGCAGGCTGCTTCCCTGTTTCATTTTTTTATGCTAAGCTAAGCTAATTGGCTCCTGACTGGACATACTGACCACACAGACATGAGAGTGGTATCGACCTTTTCATCTCTCACTCTCAGCAAAAAAAGAGAATAATGTGTTTCCCAGAATACCAGACTACTTCTCTAACTAGGCTAAACTTTGGATTTTGAACATTTATGAGACACATTTCCTTTGATAAAAGCTTTTTTTAAAAATTTATAATGATTTTAGACCCGAGGCCCTGACTTCACTGTTATGAAGTCATTTGACAAACTCATAAAAAGAGAACTTCTAATGAAAACTGAGCCCCAACTTGACCCACTTGTTCACTTCAGTTGCTGCCAATCATTCAGTTAACTCTGATGATGCAAAGACTGTATTCCATTGTTTTAGCTCACTATTGGCTCCTCCCACCTCCCTCCGACTGTTATGTATGCACACTCTTGTGTGTTCACAGGGGCAAAAATAAAGTTGAAGTTGATGGAAGCTTTATTTTTATGTTACCTGTAGACGAGGCGAATTCCATCTTCATTCTGAACCAGCTGCTCGGACACCTTCACCCCTCTGTAGTACACTGTTATCCTGAATTGAGTCTCTATAGATTCAAAGAGATGAGAAGTTCATGAGAAAAGACGATTAACAGTTGATAAAAACAGGTTATTCAAGGTGTAAATCATGACTGACATTATTCATATTAACAGGCCACATTGTTTTTATGGCCTTACTGAAGATATACCATGTTAATATTTTGTGAAGGATGTCATTTTTAGTGTCTGTGCAAATCAGTAAAATCCACCTTACTGAAATTATCTCTATCACTGGTCTTGGTAATAGTATGAAGAAACTGCTCCACCAACTGCCCATCACAGGCCCCTCCCACGGCTCCTTCCATTGGATGTGCCGGTTGCTCAGGCAACCCAGCTTCACCGACTGCACCCTCAGACATTACTGGATACTGCTGTTGCCCAGGCAACGCATGTCCACCAATCACAACCGGGTTTTGGAGCTGTTGTTGCTCAGGAGGAGGCTCAAAGCCTGCGGTGCCCTCTGTGGAAAAGTTGGAGAAACTGAAAAAGTGTTTCTAGGAAAAAAGTAACTTTTATACTCTTGTTTTCTGCTCACACTGCAGCAGTGAGGAGGAAATGACGAGCAGAGCTGATACCCGGTTCAGGGCCAATGTTCAGTCCCTTTAAACACTCCTGGAGAATATCCTGGCCGGCAGGGGAGTCTGCTGGCACATAGTGATGGGTTCAGAAATATTCAGACAAGTGATTCCAAATTAGCGAGCATTTCTGGGAATATTCACATTTACCTTCAGAGATACAAAAATTCATTCACCAGATAATAAATAATCCCTTACCGGCTTGAAGATAGACATCAAAGCATGGGACGACCTGGCTCTGAGATATCACAGAAACACAAATCATCAAATCAATTCAATAACATGTTTTCATTTCACAGCATTTACATTTTACAACCCACTGACACAGCTGCTTACTTCTTGTATAGGAAAGCCATAATCCTCAAACAAATCAGGGTCATCTTGGTCCTGGGATCCAGCAGAGGAGTTAGCTTTGAGAGTGAAAGCAAAGAAGCTTAGTTAACATCTGCAGCTTGCTATCTTTGAATCATTTATTCGCCTCAGAAACACCTCTTTAATCCTCCCTCTAATCCCCTTTACAAATGGTATTGGCTCAGAATTTGCATACTACCTTGACAAATCTCAACCACAGAGACATAAATCCGGACATAAATGTATGCAAAACAGACAGTAATGTGATCAAATCAGGTAAGGAGGTAATCAGATATGTGGTGTATGTGGCAGGGGCGTAGAACCAAATTCTGGGGACTATACATAAGCAGTCTCTGTGGGGCCCCCTGTCCTTCCTCTTTTGATCCTTTCTTTCCCTTTCCTTTCTTTCTTTTTGTGGTACCCTGATTTCTTGGGGAAAGACATGACAGTGTACGTTGGTGCTCCAGCAACATAAGGCCTTGTTCGCACCGAAAGCATTTTAGGAGCTGGAGGCGCCTTTTTGTATTTGTTGTTAATGAGAATGAAGCTTTTTGCCAGAGCGCTCTCAACTCCTCAAGTAGAAAAACTTCAACTCAGAGCGGAAAAGTGCCCCAGGTCATTTCTTTTTTCGTCATCTTTTTCCCATTGTCCAATTGAATGATTTGAGAGGCGGCCCTTCTGTGGTGGTCATGACAACAAGTTTATAGTTGGTAAAGAATAGAGGAGAAACTGGTGGTAGTGGTTGGTGGATACCCAGAGCTATACGGCCTGACCATAGACAGCAGGTTGTCAAACTGCCCACGAGTCATTCTAAAATATGCCTGGAGACGGCCATCATCGAGGAGAAGCTCCTGGACCAACTGGTGGTACTCGCCGTGATCCACCCTCTTTATTAGGGTCTCATGTCCCCACACAGATCTCGGTTTATCTGTGCCGAACAAACCATCTGCTGACAGCCTCTCACGCTCAACCAGAGCCACAGCCACTTCCCTCTGCCTCAACATTTTATGAACTAGCTACTAATTACTGTGAAAAACAAACAAACAAAAAATGGTAGATCGATTATACGGGATGGTTAGTGTAAGGACGCGATGGGGTGGTTGCCTAGCAGCAATAAAAAATGCAAGGGTGGACTAAACCATTTGTACCTGAGGGGAAAGGGGTCTCTAAAAGCTTCACTGTCTTTCAACCCATTAATTGATGCAATTTTAATTTAGTTATAGCACAAATTAATTAAAAATAAAAAACTGCAGACAGTGTTTAATCCCAGGCATTTCGAGGACCGCCCTCCCATTGGGGCCCTGGGTAATCAGTCCCACGTTCCCCGACTACAACGCAAATAATAGACTACAATGCCCCTGGTATGTGGCCACATTGATGGAAAGGTGCTTTTTTGTTTTCAAATCCATTTAATGCCAGTGAATACAGATCACATACACGTCATTACATAGCTTTAGGTACAGATCATCAGAGGAAACAGTCCATTATCAGCTGCCTGGTGTCCACTACATAAAGCAACAGTGTAAATTTCAGGGGGGACACGGGGGACATGCCCCCCTCAATAAATAAATAAGACATTTTCACCACATTTACACCATAAATTGATGCAGATAAGGCACAACTTGGTGCATTAAAATCAGCAGAATACAGGAAATTAAGTGTTTGATGCTCAAAAATTTCTGGCGGAGAACCCCCAAACCACCCGTTTCATTAATGTCCACCCAAGTGTTGAAAGAAACCTACGCCCTTGCAATAAAGGACTGACTGTCTATGGGCGCACTGGTGGATCCTCACCTCCTGACGTTGGCTCATCCGGCCAGCAAAACACTTTATGGGGGTTAGCAGGGTCGTTCTTGTTGTCGCTGACCAGTTTGAAGCCTTTGGCTCGGAGGGCGCTGCGGAAGTTCCTCTTCCACACCGAGGGGTCCCCATGAACCCGCCCATTGCCACTCCCCTCTGCCCAGGCCTGCAGGTTAAGGACGCAGGTTAAAGGCAGGGAGTTTTTTAGAATCGTGTTATTAATGATGACTGAGTGTGACTGTCACCTTAAAGATGAGGATGTCCATGTCAGAGGAGTCCTGTCTTAAAGCATGTTTCCACGGGATGGAGAACTCGGTTTGCTCCAGGTTTGTCCACTGGACACCAGGATACCTTTTGCTGTCAATCTGGGTCCGCAGCCAAGGGATGAGCAGTGGTTTAGAATGAGACATTTCTGCAGGAGCAAGACAAAATGACATGTCAACATTGTCATCAAGGCTCCATTTGGCATCCCTAGTCATCAGTAATTCAATTTCCAGCTCATTTATAATAGAGAGAATTTAATATATTCTTATACCAGTGTCATTAGATGTTGATATTTGGTTGAAATTAGGTTGTGACGGTGACCAAAATTCAGTGTCAGGACCTCTGATACCAATGTCAAGACGTAGACAGATGACGTAGATATTCCAGCGTCTTCCAAACCTCTCATGCAAACAACATTAAAATGTAGTATAATGACATTTAGTCGTAAGGTATGGAGAACAAAACCCATCATCTCCAAGTTCTCCGAGTTCCATTCCAACTACAATTTAACATCTGTCCAACCTAAGAGTTCAGTATCTTTCTAAAGCCACATTGACGTTCCTTGCCAGCTGAGGTTGATATTAATTAGAATGTTCAGATCCATTTTAAAATATTCTTTTAGCATATCGAGGTGGCTCTTTAGTTGTTTTACAACCACATCAATGCAACAAAAAGGAACTGTGTGCTTTGGAATAGGCTGGCTTGTCAAAGTTATATGTGTGAGTCAGCTGCTGCAGCACGCTGATCTTTACTATGGGCAGGTCCTATGGGAGGCTCAGGTTATATCGGACTGTCCTTATCACCCACTGCAAAGGGAGTGTGAGCTCTGAGCTTTAGGCCGCGGGTGCAGGTTCCTGCTAAGAGGACAATGAGATGCAAAGTCTCTTTTGTTTGCAGGTGGGGCAGCAGTAGCTCAGTCAGTAGGGACGTGGCTTGGTAACAGGAGGGTTGCCGGCTCAAGTTCTACTACGGACCAAGTATGGAGTATGGACCAGTAGCTGGAGAGGCTAAAGTTTGCCTCCTGAGCAAGGCACTGAACCCCCAACTGCTTGGGGCACCTGTCCAAGGCAGCCCCCTCACTCTGACGTCTCTCCATTTAATGCATGTATAGGTCCTGTTTGTGCGTGTGTGTATTTCGAGCCATTGTGTATATGACAACAGAGCGAAAAATTAGTATATCTTCTACTTCTCTATTTACGGAGCCTGATTTTGCACGTGATCTCAGCACCTGAGCACGTGACGTACTCTGCATTAAGCTGTTTCTCTTCATTTGAAGTTTGTCCCTGTGCTCTGTCTGGATTATTTCATTATGTGATTACACCTTTGCATGTTTATCGACTTATGATGCATGTACTACTTTTTTACCTTTCTGTCTTTTCCCACACCCGATAAATTATAAAAGGTATGACAGAATTAAAAAAAGCAACACACAGCATCTGAGCATCAACATCCTGGTTACTGCAGTACCACTGTGCAGCTGGGGGAATCTGCTTATATTTGCAATTTCTGAGGTGTAAGAGGAAGCAGGAGAATGTCAGCCTAGGTGTGGTTCTACACACAGTGCAAACAATACTCTGATATGTGTAAATAAATAAATAATAAAACAAGTACTTAAAATATTACAGAAAACTGTATTTAAGCAGCACACTCATGCTGAAGAATGTGCCCTTACACTAGTACTGGTGTACAGTAATTTAATGTTTGTACTAGGCTATAAAAGTAGAAAGTCTAACATTACATGCAGCATGTAGCACTTTACATGACACACTGAGTACGTATAATTAACGTCCCCAGTCTCTATCTGTATGATGAAACACTCCTGTGACTGTGTGATCATGTGTGACAGCAGAGCAGGAACAACAACAGCTGAGAAGTTACATGTGTGATAACAGGTTTAACATTCATCAACAGCTTCCCAACAGAGCACTAATTGTAAGTTTTAACCTCAGGTGAAACACGTAAACACAGCACTGACAGCTCGTTAGAACGGTTCTCCTACCTGTGGGCTCGCGCCGAGGTCTCGGTGTTGTGTGTTGAGTTCAAGTGCAGGTAAGGTAACGGCTGTGAGTAAGAGATGAAGGTGTATGTGTGTCAACCCCACTTGTCTCTTCCTTAAATGCCGTCTGCAGTCCGGACCGGCTGCTCCCTGATGTGTTGAGGTTTTCTCGGGAAACTCCGACTCGTCAGTTTCGTTTTCCTGATGTGACGTCACGAGAGTTTGATGCCAGCCGGACCCGCTAGGCGGGGTCAAACAAACTCACACACACGGTTATTTTTCTGAACTTGTGAGGACCCTTAAAGGGGGATTACCACCTGGATTTAAAATTTCCAATATGTTATTTCCATGACATAAGAAAGTTTAATCAATGTTTGTGAGCATGAGCTGCTCAATTTAATTCAACAGGTTTTACTGGCATGGAATTTAACATGTGCTGCCAGATACAATTAAATACAATTAAAAGACAGTGAATGCAACAACCAACCAAGAAAGACAATATTAGTCAATACAGTTAAGTAAGTGGGCTAATTAAATTTGTTAGGAGGAATAATATGTAAAGGAAGTAAATGAATGGGGCACTCAGTTGACCCCAATGGAACTGATACGAAACTGTAAATTCGCAAATATTTTTTATTTTCAAAAGTACTGGATGCATTTTTAGTATGGAAGCAAGGTTCTGCCAATATGATGAAAAAATATATAAGTCATTTTAATGAGAAGCTTTCTTGGCATAATGCTTTAGTATCCCCAAATAATGACTTAGTATCACAAAATAATCATTTAGTATCCCCAAAATAACAATGTAGTATCTGAAAATATTGACTTAGTATCCCAGAAATAATGACACAGTATCTCAGAATAATGACTTAGTGTCCCAAAATGACGTAGTATCCCAAAATAATGACGTAGTATCTTAGAATAATGACAAAGTGTCCCAAAATAATGATGTGGTATCCCAAAATAATGAAGTAGTATCTCAGAGTAATGACTTAGTATCCCCAAATAATGACGTAGTATCTCAGAATAATGACTTAGTGTCCCAAAATGACGTAGTATTCCAAAATAATGACGTAGTATCTTAGAATAATGACATAGTATCCCAAAATAATGACGTAGTATCCCAAAATGACATAGTGTCCCAAAATAATGATTTAGTATCCCCAAATAATGAAGTAGTATCTCAGAATAATGAGGTTGTGTCCCAAAATGATGTAGTATCCCAAAATAATGACGTAGTATCCCAAAATGACATTGTATCCCAAAATAATGATTTAGTATCCCCAAATAATGACGCAGTATCACAGAATAATGATTTAGTATCCCCAAATAATGACGTAGTATCTTAGAATAATGACAGTGTCCCAAAATAATGACGTAGTATCCCAAAATAATGAAGTAGTATCTCAGAGTAATGACTTAGTATCCCCAAATAATGACATAGTATCTCAGAATAATGAGGTAGTGTCCCAAAATGATGTAGTATCCCAAAATAATGACATAGTATCTTAGAATAATGACATATTATCCCAAAATAATGATTTAGTATCCCAAAATAATGATTTAGTATCCCCAAATAATGATGCAGTATCTCAAAATAATGAAGTAGTATCTCAGAGTAATGACTTAATATCCCAAAATGACGTAGTATTCCAAAATAATGATGTAGTATCTTAGAATAATGACATAGTGTCCCAAAATAATGATTTAGTATCCCAAAATAATGACGTAGTATCTCAGAATAATGAGGTAGTGTCCCAAAATGATGTAGTATCCCAAAATAATGACGTAGTATCACAGAATAATGATTTAGTATCCCCAGATAATGACACAATATCACAGAATAATGATTTAGTATCCCCAAATAATGGTGTAGTATCTTAGAATAATGACATAGTGTCCCAAAATAATGACGTAGTATCTCAGAGTAATGATTTTGTATCCCCAAATAATGACGTAGTATCTCAGAATAATGACAGTGTCCCAAAATGATTTAGTATCCCAAAATAATGACGTAGTATCTCAGAATAATGAGTGTCCCAAAATGATGTAGTATCCCAAAATGACGTAGTATCTTAGAATAATGACATAGCATCCCAAAATAATGATTTAGTATCACAGAATAATGATTTAGTATCCCCAGATAATGATGTAGTATCTCAAAATAATGACTTAATATCCCAAAATGACGTAGTATTCCAATATAATGACGTAGTATCTTAGAATAATGACAGTGTCCCAAAATAATGATTTAGTATCCCAAAATAATGACGTAGTATCTCAGAATGACTTAGTGTCCCAAAATGATGTAGTATCCCAAAATAATGACGTAGTATCTCAGAATAATGACGTAGTATCTTAGAATGACTTAGTATCTAAAATAATGACTTAGTATCTCGGAATGACTTAGTATCTTAGAATAATGACTTAGAATCTAAAATAATGACATAGAATCTCAGAATAATGACTTAGTATCTCAGAATGACTTAGTATCTAAAATAATGACATAGTATCTCAGAATAATGACTTAGTATCCCAAAATAATGACTTAGTATCTCAGAATGACCTAGTATCTTAAAATAATGACATAGTATCCCAAAATAATGACATGGTATCTCAGAATAATGACGTAGTATCTTAGAATGACTTAGTATCTAAAATGACTTAGTATCTAAAATAATGACTTAGTATCTCAGAATAATGACTTACTCAGAATGACTTAATATCTTAGAATAATGACATAGTATCTTAGAATGACGTAGTATCTCAGAATAATGACGTATTATCTTAGAATGACTTAGTATCTAAAATGACTTAGTATCTAAAATAATGACTTAGTATCTCAGAATGTCTTAGTATCTAAAATAATGACATAGTATCTTAGAATGATTTAGTATCCCAAAATAATGACGTAGTATCTCAGAATGACCTAGTATTTTAAAATAATGACTTAGTATCTCAGAATGACTTAGTGTCCTAAAGTAATGAGTTTTTCAGAATGACTTAGTTTCACAAAATAGTGATTTTTTCCAAATAATTACTTATATCAAAATAATGGTTTAGTATCTCAGACTAATGACTTAGTATTGCAACATGAAAAAACATTTTAAAATGACTTAGTAACTCAAAATAATGAGTATCATTTATCATTATTTTGACATTTTCAATCAGTATTTTGAGAAAGTTTCTCATTAGATAATACCTCATTATTTTCAGTCATAAGTTTCTCATAATGACTAAGAGGATCTTTTTTCTCTCATCACACTGGTGGACTGTAGTTGTGATGTTACAAATCATGCTCGTAGCGTACATGTCTTCAAAGTCATTTTTACAGTGAGCACAGAGAAACTTTACTCCTTCAGCAGATGAACAAGAAAACAGCTTTTTCATGTGTCAAATTCTGAACATAGAAGGTCAAACATCCAAGTCAAGACACACCAACCACATCTTAACCCCGAATAAGCGACGACCAGTCAAAAATGTCCTCACAGGGGTGGATGTAAAGGAACGCACACACTGTAGGGAAATGAAACACCATTTGTTCTTTGCAGATTTTATTTGTTTCTCAAATACAGGAGAGTTAATGTACAGAAGGACAAAGAATTTCATCAAGAACTGTACAATATTTACACGCCTTTTTTTTCCTTTTTTTATGGAAAATTAGATTGTTTTCAAAATAAGTCATAGTATGCACAAACATCAAAATGATAAAAATGAAATGACTATTTCCTCTTTAAATATTACTTATTTATACTCCTTCCCACACGGGAAATGGATAGTTTACTTCTTTTTCTTTGCACCTGCATGACTGATGATTGAACTGAAGCACAACAATGTTAAGTTTCAAATAGATTTTCCCATTCTCTTTTTTCTTTTCTTCCGTTTTTTTTTTTTTTTTTTTAATCGTTATTTTACACCCACTGTATTTGATACAATATTTCTGTCTCGACGTCTGTTCTTTTGTATAGAGGGGAAGACGGCTTGGATATGTGGGTTACGATTGTATACTGATCCTGTGGAAAATAAAAAGGTATTTAAAATGTTAGGGCAGCAACCCAGCGCTTGTGAGAGTTTAAGTTAAAAACCTCCTCATATAAATAATAAAAATGTGTTTATATATTATCACACAGCGGACTGGTGCTGCCCTTCACGTAGCACAGGATGAGAGAGAGAGAGCGTTTATTAACACATTTCATGTTTCTACCCGCGGACGAGTCCAATGTTCACGCTGCTCACGGCACACTCTGCACGCAGTTTTTTTAAAAAGCATTCTCACCCTCTTCCACTCTTTTCAAAAGCCAACAGCTGATGTTAGTCTTCAAAAAAATAATTTATGTAAAAACTAAGTGGTAATAGTTTCTCTTTGAACTATCGTCTTCATGACACACAGTTAACAAGATGTCAGTGGCTCCTCCGTGGACTTGGCGTGATGGCTCCTCCTCTTTGTCCTTCGCTCCCTTTTCACCAAACGGTCAATTCCCTCTTGACCCTGCCAGTGACCCCTGAACCGGTGGGGGGGTCCCCGCTTCTCACAGAGTAAGACATTTCTTTAGTCAGTGATCAACAACAAGAAAAAGAACAGAGGCCAGTGTCCGAGGTCACATGAACAGACCCCCTTGTGTTCATCGAGGGCCTTTTAAAAATTCATCCTCAGATCGTAAGAGATTTGAAGAGGGTCGGGGGGCTGTACAGTGGGATCCATCTCTTTCCGTTTGTATCTTCATTTTGTTTTTTGTTTCTTTTTTAAATCCTCTCGCTTTAATCCATTTCATCTCTCTCTCTCGCTGTCTTTGTGGTCGACTCAGGCTTTGGTGCTGAGCGTGAGCAGCTCGATGAAGGAGCTGAAGAGGGTGTCCAGCCAGCTCTGGTTGGCCATGCACTGCTGCACCACTTCCTCTTGGCCTGGGTCCTCAGCTGCCTGCTCAATGGTGTTGGTCTGGAAAAGTGGGACGGAGACACAGACAATTGTGACGCCAACACACAACCCAGAGTCTTAGACTACACAGAGCCAGCTTGTATACTCGTTTTTTCCCCGCCGTTCTAATGAGATTTGAGCTTCAGCAGTGTATTTGAGGGAATGCATACCACAGATTTTTCAAGCATGTCTTGGGCTCCATTGTCTAACATGACTGAAATGTGTTTGCTTACCTCTTTCTTGCACTGTAGGAAGGTGTGGTATTTATAGTGATGCAGGGAGTGGTAGAGACTGTAGATCCGATACGTCTCCCCTGACAGTTTAAGGTCCTTCAAATAAAAAAAAAGACGGAAATCAAAGTCAGACTCAATTCAATATATTCAGAAGAACAAAATTTACAAAGCGACTGTGAATATAAATCTTTCAGTTGCATGTAAGAAGAGAGTGAAAGTGGAGGAGGTTTGGAAACTCGCAGCAGGTGTTAGAGGGGAAGCTGTTTCACCCTGTCTGCCCTCAGCCTGTCACCCGCCCCTACTGCCAAGCTTTTTACAGTAATGGTTACTTTGGTGGATGAAATGGTTTCAGTCTCACCCAGAAACCAGAAAGAATCACCTGATTATGGGCCAAAAAATCTCCTATATTATAAGTGTATGAATATTTGACAACCCAAATAAAATTGCAAAAATGGTACTCCTTAGTGGAGTTTCTTTACAATACATTTAATTGTCTATTAAAGATATATATTATGTAATATTCCTGCATTAAAGTGTCAAAAAAACCAAACAGCCGTTACACATATGTTTTGCTAATTTCTGTACTTACATGATCCCAAATATTTCCAAGAACGTTACAACCAGGGCATAAAATTAACGTTTTTGTACACTGGCCAACTGGCTACTGAATGTTGGGATGGGACTGAAGCAAAACCCGTCAATTGCATATTTTATCTGCATATTGCGAGTGGATGGTGCCAATTTTCTACCCTGGTACTTTTATTCAAAGTGACACTGCACTTCATTTTGTCGCCTGTTACCTGCGTCACAACCCCTTAACCCCTCTAGCTGCTCTGACTTCAGGGGAAACACGGAAACCACAAGGTGATAGGCAAGAGAGTGAGGAAGGAATCGTATAACGTAACAGATTTACCTTTTGCAACACAGTACTCCAGACAATATATTAATTTGATATTTCAATACTGTTCCAGCTTACTACCATGTGCAAATACGACAAGTGGCTCATGCCAGCCACCAAGCTAATATGTGCTAACTACGTTCAACCTGTTAATTAAGTTATTTTTAGAACAATTGTTTTGACTACAAATAACAGTGTCATTAGGTGACATAGTTGTGGTTATTTCATTAGAATCAAATGACGTCACGTAAATAAACGTGACTAATAGGGCTGTACCGCATAGTTCAAGGCTTCAGTCATAATGTTGACATTAAAATTCTAAATCAACATTAGAATGCTGCGCAGCCTTTTTTTTTGTCTTACACGTCTATTCGTTGTGTTAAATCCCAGTATTTCTGTACAGTCGCAGATAAAGATTAGTATAAATTAATATTAACGGCAGTAACATTCTAGTATTAAACTTGTAGAATTAGATTTCAGTGGTGGCTGCGTAGGATTGTTTTCGACTGTAATGATCCAAAAAAAGTCCCACAAAATCTAAATTTACTGAAAAAAGACAGACGTTATCATCTCCAAAATCCACAATATGCTTTTATCAGATGATATATTCTGCTTCAATCAAAATTTCTTCGTGTTTAGCCTTTCAAAAACAACATTTTTACTGCAGTCAAAAAAACATAAATGTGTGCTGTACAGCTTGGGAGGTGTGCCCCTGTAAAGAAAGTTGAATTTAATTATTGAAAAAAAGGACTAACTTATTTAATCCATATGAAACAGATGTTGGAGGCTTCATTCAAAAACCTCAATAGAAGCTTTGACTGTAAAAAAAAAAAAGACATGTTGCAGAGCCCTTCTATATAAAAAATTAAATACATGAACTCGTTAGTGAACACAATTTTTGCCTGACTCGCATCATCAGCTAGACCTTCATCTGCAATGGACAGCAACTCCCATGATCCCACGCTACCCCAGGCCATCATCAAAGTCTGTCTTTGATGACAGCCTGTGCATTTAACAGCCACAAACACTCCTGACCCTCGAAACACTCACACACACCTACCTGTGGTTTAGGCAGGGTCTTTTTGACTCTGTTGAGGGTCTTGCGGTTGTAAGCGTCCCCGCTTAGCCGCACCCTCACCACTCCTGAGTCCAGGGGGTCTACAATGATCTGGGGGTATGCATGCAGGACCTCCTGTCAGGGAGAAGATTTAACAGACACAGGAAGACAGAAAATGAGATAATCAAATATATGTAAGAGAAAATGTGCCAGATGTGATTATTTTTAGTATCAATATGTCTGTTTTTACGATTATTAATTAGTTTAGAAATCATCAGAACCCAAGGTGGTGTCAATTTACAGTGACATGAAATAAAAAAAGCAGCTAATATTCACACCTGAGAAAATGTTTGACATTTTAATATGATAAATGACATCAATTTCTAGTCGACTATTGTCCTAAATTAACTTCCTGTTTATTGACTAACCAGTTAATCTACTGATTGTCCCAGCAGTGGAATCCATGACGTTATTTCGGTCGTGCCGGACACAAGACAGAAGCAGAACATTCAGGACAGATTACCTGGTGCTGAGAGCTCATGCTGACTCTCCTCAACAACCTCCGCTTCTGTTCGCTGAGGATGCTGTCAATCTTCCTCATCGGTGGGAGGTACAGCTCATCTGGTGGCCAATGGAGGCAGAGGAAGTTTCATTAGTCATCATTCATGTAGCTGCCAATCATTTTAATACCAAGGGCAGATTCAAAGCGGCTCTGTCTGGCTATCAGCATTCCCGGGGCTTCCCTTCAACCTGTCACACCGTGTTTACTTGGAAAGCCATTAAAAGAGTCATCATTCTAAATATGTGCGCTGCAGAACAATCTCCCTGCTGCCGTGAGATCAGTTTGTCCAGCTGGATGGCTTGAACAGAGACTTGGCAGCCGCTACTTGTCAGTGGCGGTGGTGTTTATTCAACCTGCCCAAACTGCACACGGATACTTGAATCCTCTTTTGAAAATTTCCATAACAATAAACTCGATGCAGCTGTTTCGATGCACGCGTTTAATCTGCGGGAAACATGCTGCCACACAGGAAGGTCTGGTTAGGTTGGAGATCTCAGACACAATATACAGGCTGCATCGGATCTCTGATTCTATTTCTGTCTCCTATATGTCAGAAGATTTTTACACTGAGCTTTTAATTGTTGCTAAGGAGGCAGCGTGTGTGTATGTGTGTGTGTGTGTGTGCAGTTCTCACCATCTGTGTCCTCCAGGGCTTGGATCATGTCTGGATCCAGGGCTGTGCTGACCAGCATCTCCACGTAGCTCCTGAACATCTCCCTCATGGCACGGTTGTTCACTCCTCCTTTCACTGGCACTGAGAGGACGAGAACCAAGAGTTTACACCCTTCTACTACCTTTACCTCCATTACTATGATGTCTAACGGCAAAACGCGAGCACAAAGAATCAAAATGGAATCTCACTTTCATTCTCACTAGCTGCCTCCTCTGATGAGTCCGAGTCAGACGACGAAGGTATTTCCTTCAGCCACTTCTTCCTCTTCTTGGGCGGCGGCTCCGCCTTCACTTTGGCCGGCTTGGACTTCGGTGGGCGCTCAGCCTTCTCCTTCTCCTTCCTCTCCACCGCTTTCTTCTCCTCCTTCGCTCTACCTCGCTCTGCCGCCGCAGCACGTTTCTCCACTTTTTCCTGCTGCGGCTGTACCCGCCTCTCCCTCTCTTTATCCTTCTCCTTCTCAGACTCCCTCTCTTTCTCTTTCTCCTCCCTTTTTGCTTTGGGCAGAGCAGCCGGAACCTCCTTCTTCTCCCGTTGTTCTCTTGTGGCTGCTGTCGAGGTTCTTGTTCTCTCCCTCTGTTCGCGCTGGACTGGCGGAGCCACTCGCTCCTCTTTCTCGACTCTGGGTGGCACCTGGGAGGCAGGAGGGGAAGCCATTCTGGGAAGGGACTGGCGCCTGTGACACAGAGAGGAATCGTTTTAGAAATGGGAACCACTTCAAAGATCAACGAAATGTACAGATTGCCAAAAATCTCTAATTAAAAACGGGTACTAGTCCTTAAAATGGTCACGGCAGCAAACAACGCTTCAGACCACATCAGCCCACCTGTTTTCATCTTACCTCCATTTGTGAACGAATCCCCAAAAAGGTGATGTTTCAAGTATCAATAGCCAACATCCATAGTTAGGGTGCAGTCAACCAAGTCCTCCTCTTTCACCCACATGCTTATTAAATGGTGCTTTTCAGGCTAAGACCAACATGGCCCCAGGAGTCTAAGCCTCACCTCCAGGAACTCAACTGGGACTATTCTCCCAGGCCCAGCTATAGGAGGGGCTACTGGGCAAAGTGATTTTTACCAGCTAAATCCAGCAGGTCTTAATCGAGTAAAGTAAACCAGGGATGATAATGAATAGTCGACGATGGATCAATCGGATGCTAAGAACGTGAAATCTGACCGACCTGATTCTTAAATACCAACAATGTATTACTACTGTAGTAACTACTTATAACAAAGCAGCTAACTTCAGGTCTGGAGGAAGAGCGCAACGGCAACATTGGAAAATGAAGCAGGCAAAGCAAAGCATTTCAACATGTTCCATATATCTAGGTCTCTACATCTTTATGTTTCATAGGCTAAGCTGTGCTGTTAGTGAATATGTATATGGTGCTTTGTAGCTTTGATTGGGGAGAAAAACACATTCGGTACTTTTTGGCATAAGCAAAGTTTTTAGTTTATTTTAAAATCAGGATCATGAGAAGGTGCTTAAAATTTGCAACCCTTTCTGAAACATGCATGAATATTAGAAATGACTTCAACACTCATTTTCCACAGAACTGGTACTCTAGCTGCACTTTTTCGTTCGCTTATTATAAATGTTTACTACAGTTGTTCTGCTGTTCTCTGCCACTAGCCAAGACAAGAAAAGAGCCTTGTTATATTTATCTTTTAATAAGATTTTCAAACTGTGTGCCCTCAATGTTAATTATTTCCTTCGTATCTAAAATGGTGTTGAATATGGAGATTGTACTGAAGGTGGATATTCCAGTATCGTGACAACACTAATTCAAAACAGGATTTTTGGTATGGTAAATACTGGTACCTGAGGGCAGGTGTGGCTCTGCGCCACGGTCTCCGAGAGCAGACTCTGACGTAGTCCTTCTTGTTGACATTCTCCAGAAACTTGACGTAGATCCGCTGGTATCGCCTCTTGGCATCTCCAAAGTAACCAAGATACTGTGCCAGAAAGAGGAGAGTTCATTACACAACCGCACAAATTTGACTGTTGACACTGAGACAATATGGTGTGTAAGAATCTATCTATATACACTACAGTATTTTCATCATACTCTGTGATGCAGCTGGGGCTGTGTGAAGCGTCTAAATCAACATGACTGTGTGCACATGTGGTTAAATCAGCGAGGGACCTGGGGGAAACTCACGTTGCTTGTGGCGCAGAACTGTCTCTGTCCATCTTTGATCTCTGGGCTGAACTTCTGCAGCAGAGCTTTCTGCACCCTCCATATGGGTGGAGGCTCACGGCCCATCTGCAGGGCCAGCTGTGCAAACACATGACACACAGGTAAGTATAAAATGTCTCTGTGATTTGGCAGCTACTCAAGGATTCAAGTTCCAACTCATTTTATGCTTCTCTGATGGTTATTCTGATGGTTTTAACAATATCTTTAATTACACTATTTTTAGTCTGTGCTGACACCTACGTATCAGCGTAGTGATTTTGTAGTAGTTAAAATAATTTATTCAGTTTGTTGCCTCTACACCAGAAAGCATTTTTCTATTTTTGGACCAAAGAAAGCACATTGTAATTCTTTAACAGTCAACAACACAAATACCTTGAGAGTTCGAATGTCTTCCACCCGTACCACAAACTCGTCCCTTTCTCTGAAGATGCCCTCGCCTCCGCTCTCGCTCTCATCCTCCTCACTCTCCCCAGCGATGGCAGCATCCTCTTGCTTCTGGGCGAGGTGCAGGGAGGTGATCTTAGGAGCCGGGGGCTCCTCGGGAGAGGCGGGGGACTCTGGAGATGGCATGGGAGACTCCTTCTGAACGGAAGGTGGTGGAGGAGGGGAAGTCGCAGGAGGAGGAAGAGGAGGAGGAGGAGGAGGAGAAGAAGCGGCAGACTGAGGGAGAGTGGCGGGTGGGGGAGGTGATGGTGAGGGGGATGTGGGAGCGACAGGGCTCGGAGGCTGGGAATTCTCCTGCTGTTCCTCCGGTGGAGGCAGGGGTGAGGGGAGGGAGAGGGGAGGGAGGGGGGAGAGGGAGGGAGAGGAGGATGAGGCGGGAGATGGAGGGACAGAGGGAGGTTCGGGAGTTTCTGGCTCTGGAGGAATCTCAGGGAGGGGTTCTGGAAGGAAAGAAGCAAGACTCAAGTCAGTTGTACAGATCAATTCATCACAATGTTAAAACAGCTATGAGAATTTAATCAAATTAATTTTATTACAAATATAATGGGACATTGGGACAAAAAAAAAGTACAGCAATAGCTACGCCTGAGGGGAAATTATTAATTTTCTTAAGCTGAGCTGTAGAAAAATCAATGTGCAGGAAAATGGGACATGAGAGGAATAGAAAGTTGGCATTACCATCAAGATTGGGGGCACCCAGTGTTTCCAGCTGTGGCTCTCTCTCCTCTGTCATATCACTCTCTTCTTCTCCTCCCGTGCTCCTCTCCTCCTCGTTCTCCTCCTCCTTGTTCTCATCCATGTCTCCATCTTCTGCCTGGAGGACGTCAGGTTCGTTGGACTGGGGCATTGCGTGCGGTGTGTGCATGGTCGGCTGTGGGCTGAGTGTGGGAGGTTGCAGCGTGGGAGTAAGTGGGGACTGGCTTGCCTGAGGCTGAGGCTGGGGAGGTGGAGGAGGTAGCGGGGGCTGGATGTTACTTAGCTGAGGAGTGTCGTACAGAGCTGAGATGGCTGAGGAGATGCTTTTCTGGAGGTCCTGGTTCTTTCCCACTGAGTCCTCCTCGTCAGATGAGAACGACGGCAAGGTCTCCAGGTTCCTCTTTAGCTCGTCCTCCAAGCGCTTGGGGCTGGGGCAGCTGCCCAGAGCGAGACCCCCGTTCCCTTCACTGTCCCCAAAAGGAGGCGGCGGCGGTGGAGGGGGAGGTGCAGGAGACAGTGGGCGCAGACCCCCTGATTTACAAGGTGAGGTTTCACCATTGTCAGGTTCCATTCCTGGTGAGATGTCCAAGCCTGGAGGTCTCTTCCCTGTCTTCAGGAAGTCCAAGAATGAAGCGACGAAGCCCGCCTTGGATTCAGAGTCCTTTTCATCGCCCTAGAAATCATAGAAAAAAACAACGCTTACCACCACTAAAACAGTGAACTCCACAGCTACTATAACCTGAATCAAATCTGTTTAAACTTTAGGCAAATTTTTTTAGCATTTTCTGCCTAACTTAGCGAAGATATAATCCTGTCGCTCTTACCCTTTCCTCCAGCCCCTCGTCATCTACTCCTTCACTCATCATCTGGCTTTTCTGCTTGTTCTTGTCTTGACTCCTGTTGCTCTCAGTGCTGCAGGGGGGTCCAGGACTTAAACCGAGGGAGGGAGCGGAGCCCACTGAACCGTCCGACAGAGCAGGGTCCGTGCCAGACAGAGAGTCCGTCCTCAGCAAGGCATCCGAGGAGGACAGCGTACCAATTGGTAACTTGATCTAAAAAAAAAAAAAAAAAAAAAAAAAAAAAAAGAAAGAAAGGAAACTGTAAGATTTAAACAAGCATTGGGCATGAGTTGATTAAAGTTACTATTAAAATTATTCTTATTTTCTGCAACTGCGTTCACCTAATGGAAATGCCATTGTAATAATTAGGCACATTTCTGAAAGACTGATTTGATAAGAAAGACTGATAAATATGGAAGCTGAAAAATTGCTTAAAAATTGAAACATGCACACATTAATTCATTTGTCATCGTTTTTACCCTTTTTTAAGCATTTAAATCACAGGATAAGTTTAAGACTGACTGAGCCTGGCCGTGAATGTGCTTCTTCTGACAAGAACAAAAGGAGTGAGAAAGAAAGACAGAAAAAAAAGGATCCTCAGCAGACACATCGCCGTAGCTAGTAGCAGCCATGCAAACTACAAACACTGCAGGTATCAGTGGACTCTCCTTTCCACCACACAAGCACACCTCTAATTTAAATAAAGGGCTCATATGTGAATCTCTTGTGTTATCGCTTTTACAAGGATACCCAAGACACCATATTTAGCTTCAATAACTAGTGTTTGTTACTAGCACCTCTGTGCTTAAACAAGAATTTGTTTCAACATTCCCAAGGCATTTCCAGACTAAATGCCACTGACCTTGAGAGGAGGAATAGGCTCGTGTATCTGCTGTTGGGGCTGGTGATGAAGCGGCTGTGGCTGCTGCTGATGGAGGTGATGGTGGTGCATCTGATCCTGCTCCTTCCCGCTCATTTCCATGTACATATCCTCCCTCCTCTGCCCTCTACCTCGGCTCCCGCGGCCCCTACCCCTGCCTCGTCCCTCCACGCTGAATGCCCCTCCTGTTGTTGTTCCGCCCATCTCCCCCATCATCCCACGCGGGGTGTAGGGCTCAGGCATTGGGCGGATGCGAGGCCTGCCTCTCGGCCTCGGGGGACCCTCCCTTTTGGGTCTGGTGGGCTTTCGGCCCCTCTTCTTGGGTCCGTCTTGAGGCAAAAGAGAGTGTGAGCCCATAGAGGTGTAGCCGGAGGAGTGGTAGAAGTCAATGTCACCCATTAAAGGGCTGAGGGACCCACTTCCTCCTCCTCCCTTTCTGCAGCTGGACACCAGGTCTGGCAACAGGTCCGGGAGCCTCCGGCTGTTCAACCGGATGTCAGCCGGCTGGTCGGCTTTATCCTCATCGTCTTCAAACTCATATTCTTGAGCGTAGCTTTTCTTAGGCAGTGTGTTGGGGTCCCGGCGCTCCTTCAACAGGTGGAAAGAGCTGGACTTGAGGAGCTTCTTGGGACGAGAAGAGCAGAAAATAGGAGACTGGAGGCCTCCGGTGCCAGATCCTTGGCTCGTTCCTCCAGGCCCAGAGGACAGTTTAGCTCCAGAGTTGTTGGGACCAGCGGTATTGGAGCCCATGCCCATAGCTGGAGCCTGGGACTGTATCAATCCCAGCTGTTCAGTGTTCACAGTGGAAGGGAGCTCATGGGTTTTAAGTGAATCTAGATCCAGAGTCATAGTGTTGTTGCTGGGCTCTTCCAGGCCATGGCAGTATGGTTCATAACCCTGATCTCCACCATGGTGACCCATTATGTCATAGCTAGGTCCACTACCTCCCGCTGCTCCACCTCCACCCTGTCCAGCTTTCATGGAATCCATTCCCTCTTGCCCAGTGTGGCTTTCGTTCATCTCCTCCTGTCCTGGTCCTGCCCCCCCAGCACAGCTTGACTTGTAGTCCTCTGCGCAAAACATGTCTTCCATTCCTGGAAAAAAGGAGCGGTCCTCATCCTGAAGGAGGGAGTCTGGGAAGCAGATGGAAGTCAGGGGTACAAAGCGGTTACTTTGTTGATTCTGGTCTGCTTTCTCCACCGGGCTGACGGTGTCAAACTGGTGCTGCTCCGAGCGCTGTTGGTCCATCTGGCTCTGCTGAGGGGTGAGCTGCTGCGGGTCAGGCTGAGGCTGGGAGTGGGCTGAGGCAGATGGTGGGGGTATGTGATGAGGGTGTGGGGGCTGCTGCTGAGGGTGAGGGTGGTGAGGGTGGGTTTGTTGGTGTTGAGAGCTGGGGTGCTGCTGCTGTTGCTGCTGCGGGTGGTGCTGTGAAAGATGGTGCATGTGAGGCGGGGTGGATAAGCCGATATCGGGCTCGGAGAGGAAGGAGTGGAGTTCAGAGGCTGAGTGCTGCTGTGAGTGATGGTGGGATGGGTGCTGTCTCTGCTGCTGCTCCTGCTGCTGTCTGTGACGCTCACTGCTGCCTCCGTTCCTTCCCCCGCTGCCTGCTCCACCGCGTCTGTCCTCTGCAACGGCTACGTCCGTGCTGGAGGTCTGAGACAGGGAGCGCTCCAGCATGTCCAAGGAAGACACCACTGAGCTTTGTTTCACCTGGCTCTGCTCGTGCTGATGTGGAGGGGGCCCGTGGTTGTAGTGAGCTGCTGCAACCTCCAAAGCCTGGGACTGGAGCTGAAGCTGGAGCTGGGTGGTTTGGGACTGAGACTGAGCCTGATGTTTACTTGAGCCGAGTGCTCCGCCAGCACTTTCCATCACAGCTTGCTGTTGGCTAATAGAGTGCTGCTGCTGTTGGGGGTGAGAGTCCATTTTATGGTGCTGTTGGTGTTGCGAATGAGAATCAATTTTGTGGTGCTGCTGATGCTGATGGGAGTCCATTTTCTGGTGCTGTTGGTGCTGTGGGTGGGAGTCCATTTTTGGGTGCTGCTGATGTGGTTGGTGGGAGTCCATTTTGTGATGTTGTTGGTGTTGCCGATGAGAGTCCATTTTGTGGTGCTGTTGTTGATGTTGTTGGTGGGAATCCATCTTGTGGTGTTGTTGGTGTGGCTCAAGTTTGTTGCGGGTGGTGTGGGACAGCACGGACTGGAGCAAGTGTGGTGGCTGACGGGATTGGTCAGTGGGAGAGTCCATGAGGGAGGCAGCAGCTTGAGATTGGGAGTGCTGCTGCTGAACTTCCGGTGTTTTCCGGGGATAGGGGATTTCGGCGCGCTCCTGTGGCTTCTTTTGGAGCTCCATTTGGGTGTGGGATGGAATCTGTGAGTGAGAGGACACGTGCTGACTGTGTGAGGAGTGTTGGGGAGCAAGGGAGTGTTGACTATATGGGTCACCCCGCCCATAGTGGACTACCGAGCCTAGGTTGTCATGGTGATGGAGATGGGAGTGCACTTGTTCAGTGCTGCCTCTCCCTCCACTGCTTCTGCTGCTTCCAACAGACCTCTCGTTCCTTTGCTGCTGCTGTTGTTGCTGCTGCTGTTGATGATGGTGTTGTTGTTGATGTTGTTGCTGTTGTTTCTTTAGTGACATCTCCAGCTGGTTGTCCAGCCCTGAGATGGACCCTCCAGACCCTGCATTACCAGTGGATGTGGCACTGTGGGTACGTATGACACTCTGGGGGTGGTACCTCTCCTCAGAGCTCTTACCCATGTCATAGCTCAGCCCTTTGCCTGAATCAGTGGTTGGGGGCACTGACTGGGGCTGAGGCTGGGTTTGTTGGGATGTCTGTTGGGGTTGTTGTTGAGGATGGTGATGAGCAGCCTGGGGAGCGGGACTTGCTTGGGCTTGCAGCAGGTGCTGGATCAAGAACTCATCATCATCGTCTACTTCCTCTTGGGATCTCTGAGAGCCCACTCCTAGCATGGAAGTGTCCGCCTTTGTTTTAGAGGAGGTGGAATGATAGGACTGAGGTTGGGAGCTTGGGCCTCTGGTGTCGGGGAAGCCCTGAGGGGAGGCAAGGAAGGTAGGAGAGAGAACTGAGGAAATGTATTTATTCGAGCCCGCACCTCCTGGAGATTGCGTGGGGCAGGTCGGCACCGGGGAGTGCAACCCTGGACGGATGATGCCTGAGTTGCCTGATGGCGACGGGCTAGAGTCTGGAATATGATAAGACCCTCCACCACTACCACCTCCACCTCTCTCATTAGTCATTCCATTTCCTGCTCCTCCTCCTGACCCAGAGTTTCCACTTCCTGTGCCGCTACTGCTTCCTCCCCCAGATGCTCCACTGCCTGATGAACCACTTGACCTTAAAAGGGCAGGGGAGTGACCTGGGGCTCCGTAGCCTAGTGATGGGCTTCCAGCTCCACCCAGAGAGGATGGAAGCGATCCGTAAGCGGAGTCCGCTCCATATATATCAGTAGGGTATGACTGGCTTCGCCCTCCTAAACTCCCATAGCCTTTCCCACCTGTACCTGAGCTCAGGTCTTGGGCTTGTGGTGAACTGAAGCCTCCGTAGGACTGAGCCAGGTGAGAGGTAGGGGGCTGATTAGGGGAATATGACTGTGTCTGTTGTTGGGGTGGGGTCTGACCAGTAAGAGCAGAGGTGGGGGTCTTCACAGGGGGCACAGGAGAGCCATAGCCTGAGAGGCAGGATTTGGGGAGAGACTGGGGGGCTGACGTGGATGTGGCAGGGGGCTGTTGCTGCTGTGGGGCTGGGGGAGGCGGAGCTGGTTGAGGGGGTGGTTGCTGCCTGGAGGGGGCTGCGCTTGAGCTGGAGGTGGGGATCGAGTTGGAAGGATGAGCCCCAGAAGTGGCAGAAGAGGAGGATGAGGAAGACGAAGTGGAGGAAGCAGAAGGGGGTGTGTGGGGAGTTCTTGAGGATGATGCTGAGCTGGCAGAAGAATAGCCACTGCTGGAGCTGCTTTTGGTACCTTTCCCAGCTGAGGAAGATGACGAGGAGGAGGATGAGGAGGAATAGGGGGGCTGGATGATTGGCCGATACTGCTCAGTGCGAGAGGTGGGCTTGTGGTCAGATGAGGGGCTCTGGTCGCCCAGTGGGCTGCAGGAAAGGCCAGCATGCCTGTGGTGAGTGGCAATCTGCTGGTACCCTGCCCCTCCACAGCTGAGGTAGTGCTGAAGGGAGTGGGCAGCAGAGGATGAGAGCTGTGACTGAGCTGGCGTGGGCCGCTGGTAGTGCTTAATAACGCTGTCCTGCCGGGGAACAGCCCGTTCCTGAGCCGAATTGGACTGGGACTGGGACTGAGGCTGGGGCTGGGCTGAGGAAAACACTGATGCGTTGTACAGCTGGGACGACTGGTCCTGGAGCTGTGATGACAGCAGGTTGAACTGGTGCGACTGCAGGTGCCTGGCAGAGGACGCCTGGGCTGATGTGGCACTCGTGGGATCCTGACTGCCCCTGTAGGCGGCTGCCGCAGCACCCTGCGAGGACAGGAGTCTATCAAAACCCAGGCTGGACTGGGAAGGGGCCTTGATGTGTAGTAGGGGATCATGTGGGGAGAGCAGGCCGTTGGATGTGGGACTAAATGTGGGCGTATCCTGGAGGGAAAGGGAGGCTGTGGGGAAGGAGCGGCTGGAGAAGGATGCTGGATGCTGATAGGCTGAGAGAGCTGAAGAGGAGGGGAAGGAGCCAGAGCCAGGAAGGGCTCCAGAGATGAAAAGTTCAGGAGGAGCAGGCGTGTGCATCGCTGTTGGGAAAAGGAAGACATATTGCAAAATTACTCAGTATTACTCAGTATCCATCAAACTATCATTTCAATAATGGAAAACTAAAAAAGTAATACTTTGAACTGAGTACTTAAAAAGTATTCGAGAGTAAAACTATTACCAAGTTCAAGTAAAAGGCTTTAATTAAAATTCTCAAACAGCAGCACTGTAAGAATAACAATAATGCAGCCAAACACTGGGAGGATCTTTAAATGTCATATTGACAGTGGGGCCTGTTTGAATGTCAACACATGAGGGAGGATCTAACACAGCCCCACCTGTCTGCCAGGACGGTGTGCGGAACTGGGAGAGAAGGGAGGAGGCAGAGGGAGGAGGCTGGGGACCCCGAGACTCCAGGGCTGAGATCAGATTCATGACGGAGGCATCTGGGGCGGAGGGACTGGCATGGTGGAGGCCAGTGTCAAAGAGCCCTGACAGACCTTTGGGAAGAGAGACAGAACCAGAAAATCAATTGATAAATAATGCAAATATCAGCCAGTAATTGCAGAGATGTAGATGATGATATAACTATAATAAATCATTATTAAAACATAATCTAAAGAAAAGGATTTTAGGTTCTGGAGTTGATCAATGATTACTTGGCAAGCCTGGTGTCACACGTACAACAAATTTAAATCAGGACATCAGCGGCTGCGAGTGTAGCTCCAAGTAAATGAACCTGTGTTGCTGAGAACAACCCCTAAGATATTGTTAAACTGTATTAGAATGAAAGCTGTGACTACCACTTTAACATCTAGGGCCTCAACTCAGTTAAGCCATAATGTGCACATTTTTCAATGACAATCTGCCAGGGCCTGCATGGCGAGATGGAGAGACATAATAATTCATTGCCTGGGCCCCTTATGGTGGTGACATGGAAGGTATGACATTTATCTCACCCAAACTCCGTCCAGCTGCTCCCCAAGCCCCGCCTTGGCCAGAGCTCCCTGGGTGGTGATTGGTGGCATAGCCCTGCAGAGGGTGTGGGGTGGCGTAGGCTTGTCGGTGAAGGAGCTCAGACTCAGGGTGGGATGATCTGGAACTCCCATATACAAGACTACAGAGGAAAAGGGGGAGTGGGGAATTGGGAGGTGTCATTAATTTCAGAGCACATTAACATAAACTAAATCTGTTCCCAAAATGTGACCCTGGGGTGGGGGGGCTGTCTAGGCTTGGGTCAGTTTTAAAATACATAAAAGCTCTCACACAAGTAGTTTGTGCTTTAATTAAAAACCCATCAGGTGACAACTCAAGGATGATCATTTGTTTATCTCTATGTGTAACTTTTTAACAATAGCCTTCATGAGAAAGCCAAAATCCCCAAGGAGTGTGATCTATATTTGAAGTTAAGAAGAAGGATTTTTTTTCAATCAGTATCTAGACAGATGACAAACTTGGGCATCACACCAAAGTGTGTTACAGTAGGTGCAAATCTGTCAAACCAGCAATGCAAGTGTCATGCAAAAATAATGGGATGGTTAATTTGCAATTATTGTAATTGATCCACAAGACTCAACCATTATCTACTCTATACATTTACAAACTAAATAAGCTTCTCGCCCAACGCTGAGGCTTTCCCAGATGCTTTACACTTCGCTTTACAAAGGAGAGATGAAATGCGTGGCTGCTGCCTGGCTGGCCACAAAACATGCTAGCATCTGCTGCTAGCACCGCCTAGCAGCAATGCACAGCACCTATGGTAGAGATGCAGAGACTAGGCCCAAACTGCTAGGCCAGCATTTCACGTGTAAATAGACCGTGGGTACCCAATGTTCAGATTTAGTGCCAAGTGTAAAAATACAGTTTCTTCAATATAAACCAAACACAAGTGATTCGTGTGTCTGCAACCATTGATTATGTTGAAGTAGCTAACAGCTGGACGGTGCAAGTCGACGCAAATGCATGCTAAAGCTGCATGCAAACACCAGCAGCTAGCCAGGTTTGTTTGGACAAATATCACTTCCGATAGGGGCACGGTGACTGTCGACTCTGATAAGGCAGCAAACTGTGGGTCGAAATATCTCAAATGTGTGCAGCTATATAAGAAGTGATGCTCCCGAGCACAGGCCTCGACTCACTTCCATGCAACATAACGCTAGCTTGCATGCTAAAGCTAAAAGCTATCTTTGCACAGCCCAGACAATTCTTCATCATCTTGTAATTCAACCAGGCCTTGCATTTTGCAGTTTTGGTGGCATTAAAAAAATGCAAGTTTAATGCAGTGGGAATATTCCACAATTTCATTATGCAAATTAACACCCATCACCAATTATCTGGATCACGCTTGGGCAAAATACATCACAAATCACAGTTTTATTAGAGCACAGCAGCACGTCTACTTTAAGATTATTATGTCCTGATTTCTTTGCAACGCAACAATTAAAATCAATTTTATTAAATGCATCTGCTCTTCTTGTTGATGTCTGTCAGGGGGGTTTTGCTGCGTCTGCACTCCTCGCAGTTGTTATCAATCCAGTGAATTTATCTCTCAGGGTCTGTGTCCAGGCCTGCACACAGGGAACAATAATTCCTATGGATGCTCCAGACATACCCCCACCTCCACCCCGCCAGGTCCACTAAAACCCACGTCTGTCAATCACACTCAATTCATATTGCCAACCTTTCCTTTCTCCACCCCGCCCACCCCCACGACACGCACACTGCTCCATTCCTGTTTATAATATTATTACTATGCAACTGTTTGGATGACAATGCACTGCACATAATGGCAAGGCATGGCACTAGATATGAACCCAATGGCGACAATTTGTTTACATGGGTCACAGAGTGCCCTGCAAAGTACCAGTGATGCATGCACATTGTCTGAATCCAATGCATACCTTGCTTTTGCCGATCTCTCGTAACTCCATCCTGCTCCTGCGCCCAAATCTCCAAATCCTGTTCCCGGGTAATTTCTATCCATTTATGTGGCGTACAATGTGTGCGATGAGGACGAAAGCAACGAGATCGTCGCAGAGCAGATTACGGAAAAAAATCCAGTCTTTCCCGTTCTCGGTTTCAGGCTATTTTCCCCGGTTTCATAAGCAAGTCCTCAGGAGTGGAAAACAGCATATTGAAAGAGAAATGGAGGGGAGGAGGAGAAAGCTGGATGAAAAAAGAGGGGGGTCTACGGGGTTATAATCCAACCACCTCCAAAAAAAGCCAGTCTTTCTCCTTTTCCTTCGCCTTTCACGTTTATCATTTCCACGAATTCAGATTCAGTCCAAAATCAGTCACGGTCATGATGAAGGTGCCGCGGATTTGGCCGGTAATGGACGAATTGCTGATAAACATTTGATTTGAATGCGTCCTTTTTCCACCGTCTCTCCTCCCCTTTCTTTAGCCTCGTCTTTGCTACGATGCTAGCACCAGCAAAAAGATTGCAATCGACGGGCCACGTTGGTAGCAATCACTCCCCATAGACGAGCAAAGAAATCCCCAATTTCAAAATCTTTTTTTTTTTCTTCTTCTTTGAATGCAAATGGTTCCCACCCCCCTCCGGAGCAGAGCTGTGGGCTAGCAGCAGATGCTAACTGTCAGTAACGACGCATCAAAATAAAACAGGGCTGCCTTTATTTCCCCCAAATGCTCGCTCCCCTGATTTCTGCTTTCTTTGGCTGCTACAGTAAAAGCGACGACGAGTTTGTCCACACCGGTAAAAACACAACAATAGTGCGAAAACACATGAATACCGAACGAGGAAGTGTAAAGAAAGAAGGCCGCGTTTTAATATTTTTTACTCATTTTCCTCCGGAGACGCCATTTTTGAAGGCGGCTGGCCGCTGTCCGTCCTCCCTCTCCCCCTCTCTGTCTCACCGCTGAGACTCACTCAGTGTCTGCGGTGACCTCCATTCACCGGCCCTCGTCTGCCAGCCAGCCCTGCATGCTTTTTCCAGATTTTCATCGTACCGAGAGGCTGAATATTGACTTAGACTACATTTTACACGAACAAAAATAAGTCAGCTGTCTGTCCCCGTACGCTGCGATTGGCTGAGACGCATTCGAGTGCGAAAATATTTCCAGTGAAAACCAGATTTAAATAAGCCTTCGGTCGCTTTGCAAATTCACATCCGAATTGTGCAGCCTGTTTGAGAGACAGTGGCATTTCCTGCCTCCAGTCAGATGCTTAATTAGGCTGCAGTTTGCTTCTCAGCACCACTTTACATAGGGGGGCATTTATCCCGTACATTTGCTAAAATTCATAAAGACACCAAGACCCGTTGTAGTCCATGTTATTATCACTATATACATATAGTCCTGATTTTATTATTTAGAGAACCTGTCTGCCAGAGCTTGTGTGCACTTGATTTGTACACCAGCAGATGGCACACTGGATTTTATGGTCATTATAAAGCAGGACGAATCACTGGGAGCTGATCCAGAGAGATGCTGTTTCTCACATCTCATATTTTGACCAGGGTGTACTGAGGCACTGTGATTGGGTTTCACATTATATCAACCTGTCACTATCCGCTAACTAAAATAATATCAGAATTGTATTTTAATACATGAACATGCATCTAAACTAGGTATTAAAGCTGAATGTAAATATGATCTCTTTTGTTTACAGGTAACAATGATGCACACACTGGAGGCCCATTTGTCCAGATAATCTCTGCATATGACTATGGTGTATGAGTGTTTGTTGCCCTCTAGTGGTGAAGTTAAATTCTGTAACTAAAATAGTGTACTTACTGAGTGACCACAACAAGGGTGATAAACTCATTTTAGTTCATGGGCCACATACAGCCTAGTTACATCATTGAAACCACTACATAATAACCTCTAAAACACAACACCTCCAAATGTTTCCCTGTATTTTAGTGTAAAGAAGTACAAGTACATTCTGAAAACAATCACTCATTCATAAAACAGATGATGAGCAGCCAATCTGCAATCAGCCAGTCTATTACCCATTGTCATTACATGTGCATTTTTCCATACATGCACTCCTGTGCAATAATGCCAGCATCACCACACTAAACTAAGGTGGCAGCTATTAAGGAAACAGGTTAAGCTATTCATGCCTCACAAACCAGTTACAAATCAAGTTATTGTAGAGCCTCAGCCATAAGGTTTCTGCAAAATGCAGCTGCTCAGCTTTTAACTGACACTAGAAAACATGACCAGATCAGCTCTGTTTCAGCTTCTCTTTGCTGGTTACCAGTCAGTTTTAGAATTGATTTTAAGATGTTAACTTTTAAGGCACTTCATGGCTTTGCTCCCAGCTACATTGCTGAGATGCTGCTCCCCTATGAGCCAGGTCGAAGCCTCAGATGCTCAGATAGGGCTCGGTTGGCTGTCCCTCAGTCCGTGCTCAAAACTAGAGGTGACCGGGCATTTGCAGTCAAGGACCCTCAGCTCTGGAGCTCCCTGCCTGAGGATCTGAGGCTCGCTGAATCAGTGACATCTTCTAAATTACTTCTTGAAACTAATCTGTTCAAAAAAGCCTTTTATTAGTTTTAGCATACTGCTTATCTTACATATGTCTCATTTGTGTTGTCATCAGTTATTGTATTCTTTTATTTCGCAATTTGTGGACAACTTAGCTTATCTGCTTCAGAGACAGTATTTTATCTTTATTTTATTTTTATTTTTATTGTTCTTTGTATTTTCTTAAAATTGCCTCATTTTATTTGCTTGAATTCAGCATTGTTTCAAATCCAGGATCAACCATGTAAAGCACTTTGTAACTTTGTTTTGAAAAGCCCTTTATAAATAAAGTTTATCATTATTATTATAATATTGTTTTAAGATAGAAGTCTAATGCAGATTCTCTTGTAGCCTGCTGAAGCTGCTAACTGCCAACACTTTGCACAATGTTTTATATCTCTAAATATGACCAAAATAGGTATTCCTGTGTCATATGTGCAAATCAAAGGAGACAAAGCATCTCCTATGTTTTGTCCTGTATTACATGCACAGTGATGGAAATACATTTAGTCATTGTTTTAATTTACTGTCATTTCCTTTAAATAATCATTATTTTACCCCCAAATTTACACAGTATTTACATATTTCAATTGACTTCAATTAACATTAACACCTCATTACATTATTGGAAAAGAAAGTGCTACTTGTTATTTATTGTAACTGTGCTTACAAGAGGTTTGCTGATGTATGATGAAAAACCTTTGACTGTGGGACAAAAAGTTTCAGTGTAGTAAATCTCAGAATGCTCAAATCCATGCTGCTGTGTAGATAAATGTAACACAACCAGGACAAGATCATTTGGATGTTCAAAATAAGAAACAAAAGTGTGTTCCTGCAAAGTATTAACCTCACTGATGTGCTTTTATTTTCATCTTATTTTCAGACTATTAGTTACATCCCTTCTAACGCTGCCTTCAATGCCAATTTGACATTTTATTGGTGAAACAAATGCAACAACTCTCCGCCTCTTAAGCCAACAAAGCAGCGTAAAACAAAGCCAAGCTTTCCAGGCTCTCTTCAGGAAAAAGGCCCTCCCCTGTAGTGAGTATTTTAGATGCATTATGAGGTCTTTATAATGCATAACGCTTGACTCAAAAGGTCAGCCATCTGCATATTCATTAGGAAGACGGTAAAACAAAGAACAGGAATGAAAGCATTTAAGAACACCTGAGTTTTAAAGGTTGATGAACATAAATAGGAAAGAATATCAGAGACAAAGAACTCATTTCATCATAACATAAATAGCAAGACTAGAAATTAAAGTTAGAATTTCTTGCATATGATTAATTTCTTCCGAGTTCACCGCACACGGTCACTGTCCTACCCCCCTCCCTCCCCCCCTCACTGTCTTACCCTCCATTTCTGGAACTAATCTGTAACCATACTTGACTGCAGCTCCTGAAGCAGCGCACAACCACCACAAACTCCAGCTCTCCTCTGTCAAAATGCCAGACTCTAATGAAGCTGTGCCAGCACCATGCCAGGTTATCAAAGAGGACGTTGACAAATGGTGAGTTCTGACAGGAATTATGTGCAATTATTAATGCTGAGAGCGGTATTTATGCAAATGCATTAAATTTGCACTAGCCAAAGTGAGAGTCATTGGTGTCTAAGTGTGTCTTTGTATAACTTTGAGCCGTTAAGGAAGACTTGTGACTGTGTTTTGGGCTCCAGCTAAATCCTGGTCACTTTCAATTACACCCCTCGGGCCATTCTCAGTCATCATTACTGAGTTGTATGCATGACATCCTGTGGATTCATATTAACTCCTCAACTTGTAAGAGTGCCTATGGGATGATCATTAACTCTAATTAGACTTACTGTAACTTAACTTGCAGTGAATCCACTCTACATCACAAGACTAAGTGTCATGACATTTACAGCAGACCCTTACAGTGACATGAAGGTCTTGAGAAGCACAAATAGACCTGAGGTTTAAAATAGGCTTCCACATGTATGACCTATAGCAGAGGATCGGCACATTCCAGGCTGCTGGTTCATGTTACATGAAAGAGCGACAGACGTTTGGTGTGTGTCCAAGTGCAGCTGTGATTTGTGTTAGCGGAGCCGCTGCACGTATTACTCAATCTTCCTCTCGTACGTCAGCGAATGCAGATAAAAGCAGCTGTGTGGGTTTGAGCTGAAATATTATTATCAGGCTATACTGTAATAATCCCTTTGATGCGCATAGACTAAATTTAAAGATTTATTTCCTCCACAGTTTCCAGTGGATGTGTTCATTTGTTCTACATCATGCAAATTTGCACTGTTTGACCTGAAACCATGTTATATGCCAGAGAGGATAACGCAGCAGTGTGTGCAGAGAGTGTTAAGTGTGGTTTATAAATCCAGCTTTGTGTTTCAGTGTCAGAGAGAAGGGAGCAGAGGACTGTAAAGACCTGATAGATGCCTTCCAGGCCTGTATAAAAGCCCTGTCTGAGGGATCGTGATACATGAGAAGTACATCTTTATAAAATGTAAGTTCACACAAATGACAAACCATTATCATTGTTTGTTTGTTTTTCCTGAATAAAGACCTGTGGCATTACACAGATAATCAGTGCGTGTAAACCAAAATAAAGTAATAATCTCTCAAAGCAAACAGTTAATCAGACAGACACTGTCAGTTGATATACTGGGGTGTTTTATGTCTTTTGGATTTTTCATTTTGTTTAGGGATGCACTGAGTAGAGAGAGTACCGATCCAATATTGGTGTTTGAACGAGCAGTGTGTAGGATTTACTGGCATCTGCAGATTGCAACCAGCTGAGACTTCTCCAATGTGCAAGCATGAACTCCAATTTAGGATTCTTTCAGTTACCAAAGTTAAGGAGGTTTTTACTGGGAGCCAAATTATCTCCAAAAGTCTCCTCCTCCCCCAAATAGACTAGGTGACTAAAAGTGGGAAAAACACTGAATAAAGCAAAGTTTTTAAAGTGTTTCCAATGCCGTTTGGCTCACCACAGACAGGCTGTTAGCCCAGCACCTGCTAATGTCCTTTTATCTCTGATAACTTAAGATCCAGATGTTCAAAGAGATTTTACCAGGAGCTGAATTATCCTCAGATGTCTCTTCCTACCCGAAACAAATGGATCCGTGGATTTAAACCAGTAAAAACACTACGTAAAGTAGTTTCACATTAAAAATCAGTTTTTCTGATGCTGTTCGGCCCGTCACAGTGGGTTTGCTAACTATGGTGGCCAACACAAAAACGCAAAAACACGAAAGCGCATACGGCCCTATCTAGAGCCACTTTTGTTTGTCCATGCAGGGCTACTGTAGAAACATGGCTGTGCAACATGGTGAGCTCCATGGATAAGGATCCGCTCCTTTTGTAGATCCAAATGGCTCATTCTGAGATGACAAAAATTTGATGATTCTTATTTTCAGGTGATTAAAAAAACTAAAGAAACAGTACTTATTATGTAACATTCCATTTCTCCAAATATATAAAATCTTACACACTGGACCTTTAATTAGTGAGATGTATGCTTCACTGTGTGGAAGTGACCGCTATCATTTTTTATGTGTAAGGCAACATCAGGCTTGACTTAAACATTAATTTCCTAATATTGTAAAACAAAATGTAACAAATAAATCAATATGAATTTCCTGAATTGTTATTTCATTATTAAAATAATAAATTGTGCACTGTCAACTTG